AATTTGCTGCGGTTGGCGTTGGTAGCTAAGGTGGGATCCACCTTTACGGGTCAGATAAGGTTGTGGTCCAATATTGGTTGGGGCTTGCTAAGCCCATTTATCTTGGGCAACCTTTATGCAGTAAAAATGGCACGGGCTAGCCAATTTTTGAATTTGTAATTGAAAAATAGTCAGTGTTTACAAAGTTATTGAAAAATAGTCACTATTTTTCTGCAAAATAAAAAATCCAGCATAATATACTAGAGATTGGAGCACCTATTTATAAACTTCCAGCATATTATGCTGGACCGATATATTATACTAGAACTCCAGTATATTATGCTGAAAGTCCAATATATTATGCTGGAAATCCGGTATAGTTATGCTGGAACTCTAATATAATATACTGGAGTATTTTTCGGATTCTGAACAGTGTTTTCGGTAAAAATAGCACGGTATAACCAGTTTTCGGACTGGTCATTCAAAAATAGCCAGCGTTTACGAAGCCAATGAAAAATAACCACTATTTTGCTGCAACAGAGATCGGTCCAGCATAATATACTGGAGTTAGGTGCACCTGTTTATGAACTCCAGCATATTATTCTGGACCGGTATACTTTGCTGACTCTAGTATAATATATTGGAGACTGGAGCACCGGTGCTCCAAACTCCAGTATATTATACTGGACAATTATACTTGCTGGAAATCCAGTATATTATGCTGGAGTTCTAGTGTACTTATGCTGGAACTCCATCATATTATGTTGGAGTTCCAGCATACTTATTCTGAACTCCAGCATAATATGCTAGAGTTCCAGCATACTTATGCTGGAACTCCAGTATAATATACTGGCGTATTTTCTGGGTTTTGAATAGTGTTTTTGCTCAGATTTATTTACATAAAAAGTGGCTAAAATTCGATTACTTTTAAAACTGGGCTATTTTNGAAAAATGGCTAAAATTCGATTACTTTTAAAACTGGGCTATTTTTGAACGATCAGTTGTAAATCTGGCTATTTTTGAATTTCTTTCGTTCAGGTTTTCTTTATATAAAAAGTGATTAAATTGCAATTACTTTTGAAACTGTGATTATTTTTGAATGACCGCTTGTAAATGTGGTTATTTTTTAATTTTGCTAAAATACTGAAGTATATGATAAGTAGCACTTACAAAAAGCTATTAAAAGCACAAAAGTTATTCTTTGTGTATCCCGCCCTTTGAAAGACTACAATTGATTGGCGCCGGACTCCAACTCCGATAATCGTTGGTGTTTCTAAGACATTGTCGGACTATGCCGGAGCAAGTATAACAAAGTATACTTTGTTGGGTTTCAAAAATATTTAAGCTCAAGTCTCGGTAACTTTTTGTACTTCCACTTAGCTACTTTATTTTGGTATTTTCAACATAAAACTATTATTCTTGGCTCTTGCTACTGTTGATCTATTTTCGAGATCTCACTCAATTGAGCTACGCCCTTGGTTTTTCATCTTCTGGGTTTAAATTTGCTGAAAATCTTTGCTCAATTAGGTAAATTTTCTTCTCTATATCTTACTCTTCTTGAGCTTCAATTGTTAAAGATTCTTTTCTTACACTTCTTGTGCTTCAATTTTGTAGGATTCATTCTTTTTTTCGTTGGTAGTTGTTTTCCAATTTTATGGGAGTTGATTTTGTTTTTTATTTTATTTTGTAATTGGTATGTTTAATTATGCATTGGTGGTGATAACTGGTCTCTTATGATTATGCAAAAGTTCATTTCCTTGTTTAGGGAAATATTATATTATATGTTTCAAGATTGTGATTGTAAAGATTCATTCTTTATTTAGACTTGTTAGAGAACCTCTAATATTATTATTATTAATTTATATATAAATATTTAACTTAGTTTTCACTTTTATTTTATTTGGTATATGATAATATTAGTTGAGAAGGAGAGTCTTGGAACAACATTAAAGTTATCTCAGTGTGATTTATGTATCACGGGTTCGACATATGAAATCAGCCACGGGCGCTTGTGTCAAGGTAGGCTGCCTTCATCAAACCCCTTAGGGTGTGGCCATTCCCCAGATTCTGCGTGAACGCGGGATGCTTCGTGCACTGAGCTGCTCTTTTATTTTATGAGTTGAGCTTAAATGAAGAAGTAACGACTGAGGATTCATATAGTCGAACCAATTTGTTTGGACTGAGACATAGTTGATGTTGTTGTTGTTTAGTGGGAAGAAGGGGTGGCAAACGGGCGGGTCGGATATGAGCGAGTCAAAATGGGTAATTTAGAAAACGGATAAATAATCCGACCCGACCCATAATTGAGATGGATAAAAACGGATTTTTCCGGCGGATAATATGGATATCCATATTATCCATGAATTCTTAAATATGTTTACTTATGAGAGAATTCCTAGTCTTCCAAGCTTGAGGAACCCCAATTTGAGGCTTTACAAATGTAAAAGTTAAACACATTAGTTATCCATTGGTTATCCATTTGGTTAACCATTTTCTAAGTGGATAATATGGTTCTTTATCCATATTCGACCCGTTTTTAAATGGATCATTATCCAACCCATTTTTGGATGGATAATATGGGTGGATAACTGTTTTGTTTTAACCATTTTGCCACTTCTAGTGGGAAGTTATCTGTTTCAAGTAGTGATTGTAAAAATTTGTTATTTGTTTAGTGAAATGTTATCTATTTCAAGGTTTTGATAGTTAACCAATACTCATTTGGAACTGGCCAGGGTTAAGNCAGTTGTTTGATGTAGCTTACCCCAGATAGGTTGGAACTGAGATATTGTTGATTGAACTAAGCAGATTCACTAAAAAATCATATATTTTTAGTACATATGCAGGGTTGTTTTCCTGTGTGCCTTCTCAATCTATTCTAGATGGTGAAAAAGAATGACGGCTTAGTATGCAGATTTGGCTGTTTGTCAGTTTCATATTGACATTTTTCTTTTTGAATGACCATTTGATTTGACTCTCTACATATCATGGATGGGTCATGTCCTTTTGTCTGTTCAGATCTTAATGTTGTTGTGGTGGGAAAATTTGAAAATTTGTCCTTTTTATTAAACAAAGTTTTAAAATTTCACTCATAAAAGAGAAACACTTGTCTCAGGTTCAAATCCCACCGGAGACAAAAAAAATTTAGTTAATTTTTTCCCATCTATCCAAGCCTTGGTGGATAGAGTTACCTAGTACCTATCCCTGGTGGGAGGTGGGAGGTATCCCGTGAAATTAGTCGAGGTACGTGCAAGCTGGCCTGGACACAACGGTTTTCAAAAAAAACAAAACAAAGGGAAACACTTTGATGTGATAACCTCTTGTTAGTGCCAAAATTTTATTATGGAGTTAGACTAGAAGGGATTGGGCCTTGAAAGTCAAAGATGGTAGCCAGACTCAGGCAGTTGACCTATAGGCCATCACAAAATATTGGCCAAGCCCCCACAACACTTCAGAAAGAAATTGAGGGTGACACCTAGATCCAATCCATGAAGCCCCAAGACAAGTTTAAACCGCACCTTTAAAGATGAGAAATCTAGAATTACCATGGTGGAAGGAGAGTTACAACCTTAGATCAAGTCTACTTGAAAATAATGCTAAGGTCATTAATATAGTACCTTTGAACATAATGTCTTTGATTTCGCATTTTCAACAAGAAGGTTTTTGTGGTCCTTATAAAAAAATGAAGGTTATTACCGTCAGTGACTCTGTCAGCAACTAGTTCTCTACAAGAATAAGAATGTATGGACATCAGTTGGAACATCCAATAAAACGAGCCGATCTGACCCTAGGCGAAAAAGATTAGTCGAGTTGAGGTTAGTTTAATTAAGCTGATGTATAGTTCAGGTGAGCAAAATGATCTTTAAGTAAGTCAAAATTCAAATCCTTGACTCTACATATGCTGCAGCTAGTGGGCAACTGTTTGGTTCTTCATGAAGATGAGTTAGGGTTACATGTGTTTGAATAATTCAGATTAGCATGGATTTGACCATACCTAGGGTGAGCTATGTCCAAAGAGTTACGATTGTGAAGAAGTTACCAGGGGATATCTCTTTCTTTTCTACTTCTGCCATTCCCCTTAGTTGCACTCATGTACAATTACTTGCATCTTTCTCTTGGTGCAGTAAAGAATCCTTTTCGATGTTTCACAGATTAGGGTAGATATGGAGCCTATGACTTCAGAGATGAAGCCGGTTCAGAACAATGCACCGAGGAGACCTCGTATTCTGCTTGCAGCAAGTGGAAGTGTGGCTGCTATAAAGTTTGCCAATCTATGCCGTTCCTTTACTGAATGGGCTGAAGTTAAAGCGGTTGCTACAAAAGCTTCTCTTCATTTTATAGACAAAGCTTCACTTCCAGAAGATGTCATTCTTTATACTGATGAGGATGAATGGTCAACTTGGACGAAGATAGGTGACAGTGTGCTACACATCGAGCTCCGGAGGTGGGCCGATATTATGATTATTGCCCCTTTGTCAGCAAACACACTTGGGAAGGTGATGTATCTTTCTACATTTTTTAGATGCTCAAATCTTCTTTCATGATAACGCACGTTCTGCCGCAAAGACGCAATTTATTCCCTTATTCTAATTGACAACAGTATTACTGCTTAGTTCAGGTAATGCTTTAAAGCTTAATATAGGCAGTAAAAAGACAATTTATTGAAGATGCAACGAAATTGGGTTTGGCTGAGAAGAGTTTTGTAGCATGAGTTGCGAAATTCTCTGTGATACGGACTTGCAGAATTGTCAGATATTGCCAATGTGAATACTTCCATGATGGAAGGTGTTAAGAGAGATCGATACAATTTCCCATCTTATAGTTCTTGATTTGTTTGGTGTCGATAGATTATATTGTTTTCTACTTTGCAGATAAACTGATATATGCCTTCTGTACTGTAGATTGCTGGTGGACTATGTGATAACTTGTTAACCTGCATCGTACGAGCATGGGACTACGATAAACCCCTTTTCGTGGCACCAGCAATGAATACATTGATGTGGAATAATCCATTCACAGAAAAGCACCTTATGGTAATTGATGAGCTTGGGATATCTCTCATACCACCAGTATCAAAGAGACTAGCCTGTGGAGATTACGGGAATGGAGCAATGGCTGAACCGTCTCTGATCTATCAGGCTATTAATTTGAGGTAGCACGTAACAACAAACTTAATTTGATAACTTATAAAAGTCGATTATTTACATTAACAGGTAATTAGCCTTTAAAAATGAAAATTGAGTAATTTACGTGTTTCCTATTTCGGGTTATACATGCATTATAAGTTGCGGATAAGGTGTGTTTGTTTTCTTGACAGGTTTCTATTAGTTAATATAATTTAATTTAATTTTTATGTGTGGTTATATTAATGTTTGTCTTTTTGTGACCATTTGTGGATCTCCTAGGGTGGCATTGTATACTGCTAAAATCGGGCCCACCCGATTTTACCGATTGATCGAAACCAGGGAATGATCGAGGATCAGCCCCATAGCATATCTGGCTGAGATATGAGGATAAGACACTGAGCTTGGGATTCAAGATACTTAGCAAGATCGAAACCAGTAATGATCGAGGTAGAACGAGATAGACGTACAACAAGACCCAAGATATCATGATAATGGAAAGGCGAGATATTCGTGATCGGTCGAAGATCATGATGGAAATCTCGGAACAGATCAAGTCAAGGACGGTTGTTTAGATAATCATGATCTCCATCTGTAATTAGAATTTTATCTTAATAGGATTCCTCCACTATAAAAAGGGGGTCCTAATCACTTTGTAAGCACCTTACATTGACGCATATAAAAATAAGACAATTTTCTGTTTCTCTTGTTCATCAGTTCAATTCATAATTCTACTCTCAGTTTGAGGGTAACATAGCTCGAGGGCTGAATTGCACTTCAATACTGGTTTATTTTATTTTTTTTGTTTATTTTCATTATTAACCGTCATATTTATCAACTGGTGCTGGGTGAAATTACGTATCCTTAAAACCACATATAAGTTTAATAATTATCTGATTTTAAGGGTAAACAGTTTGGCGCCCAACGTGGGGCTAAGGATAATAGTGATTGCTTGGTATAAATTCTCATAACACACACTGCTTTACGCTTGTTCTTGTAAGTATCTTTAATTTCAGGATCAACATGTCAAACTCTCAAGTAGCACCCACACATACAGACAATAGCCTTGGCTTCCACGGCGAAAATGATAACATAACCACCCCGGGAAACGGAGTGCCTCCAGTCAACCCTAATGGACCTCCGGCCGTGGACCCAATTGACGTCAGAACGCACAGAGCGATGAAGAAGGAGGAATTAACCTTCGAACGATATTTGAGATGTTGCAGACTCAACAAGCTGCGATAGCACAACTCCAAAACCAGAATCGAGCACCAAGCAGAATCGAGCTCGAGCCATTGCAAGAAGTTGTTCTTAGAGCCGAATTAGTGCCAAAGAGATCGAACGAGAGAGAATCGGAGACTAATCCCACTATCGTAAAAATGCTCGAGGAACTGACGAAGTAAATCGAGACAGGGAAAAGAAGATCGAGGAAAATGATAAGAATGTGAAAACTTATAACTCCAGGGTCGACCAAATCCCGAGGGTACCACAGATATTGAAAGGACTTGATTCCAAAAAGTTTGTCCAAAAACCTTTCCCCCAAGTGCGACTCCGAAGCCAATCCCAAAGAAATTCTGTATGCCCTAGATTTCGAAGTATAACGGGACGACAGATCCAAACGAGCACGTCACCTCATATACGTGCGCCATTAAGGGACATGACCTGGAAGATGACGAGATTGAATCTATGTTACTGAAGAAATTCTATCGAAGGGTGCCATGATATGGTACCATAATTTACCACCTAATTCTGTTGATTCATTTGGTATGCTTGCAGATTCTTTTGTGAAGGTGCACGCTGGAGCTATTAAGGTTGAAACTAGAAAATCGGACCTATTTAAGGTAAGGCAAAAAGGCAACGAGATGCTCAGGGAATTTGTATCTCGATTTTAAATGAAACGGATGAATTTGCCACCGGTCACTAATGATTGGGCTGTTCAAGCCTTCCCTCAAGGTCTCAATGAATGAAGTTCCATAGCTTCGCAATAATTAAAGGTGAATTTGATCGAATATCCAGCTGTCACCTGGTCCGATGTGCATAATCGATATCAGTCGAAGATTAGGGTCGAAGACGATCAGCTGGGGGGTCCGATTGGTTTGATTTATCCCAACAGGTCCGTGGACAGAGTTAAAAGGGACGTTGATGGGGAATCACGATCGAACAGAGACCGATACCAGCCATACGGTGGAGATTGAAGAAATAACGGGCCA